ATTTGGGATTTTTGGATTTGAATGTTGAGATTTTTGGATTTTAGGGTTTGGCATTTTGGATTTTTGGGTTAGGTTTTCGAGTTTTAGATTTTGGGGCTTAGGTTTTCGATTTTAGGACTTCAATTTTATGGTTTGAGTTTAGGGTTTTGATTTTAGGGTTTCAATTTTAGGGTTTTGATTTTAGGACTTGTAGGGTTTAAGGTTTAGTTTTAGGATTTAGAGGGTTTAGGGATTTGTTTTATGGTTTGGATTTTTAAGGTTTTAATTTTAGGACTTGGAGGGTTTAAGGTTTAATTTTAGGGTTTAGAAAGTTTCGGGATTTGTTTTATGGTTGGGAGGGTTTAACGTTTTGATTTCAGGGTTTGAAGGGTTTTGAGTTTGGAGCATTTAGGATTTAGTTTTGGGGTTTAGAGAGTTTAGGGTTTTGGTGTTAGGTTTTCGATTTTAGGGTTTAGGTTTTTTAATTGAAGAAAACACGAACATCTCTAAAAATCTTCAACATCTAGATGGACTTTTGGTAAGTTCGATTTTTATGATTTTAAAAAATTGATTTTTCATATATTTTTTTAATGAAAATTTATTATTACTATTATTGTTAATTTATTATTATTTTATTATTTATTATCTTTTTATACTGTTTAATTTTAAAAAAAATTTATAATAATTTTTCAACATCTAAGCAGAATTATTTTTAAAAATATGTTTTTCTTCCCTCTAACATTTAGGCAGGAAAAATATTATTCTATTATTATTATTATTATTATTATTATTTAGAATATTATTATTATTTTATAACCATTTTTAATATATTTTTTTGTAGTCATTATCCTACTTTATTTTTATTTTATTATTATTAAGTACAATCAAATAATTATTCTAACAAAAATTTAAAATTTATCATGTATAAATATTAAAAAAAAACTCAAAATAACAAAAAAATAATATAGAAAAAATTAGAAAATTAAAAAAAATACATGAACTAGACCGGTCAACGGCCTGGTTAACATTAGTTCGATTCAGTTTAGAGGTTCAAAGCAGAAACGATCAAACCGGTTCAAATCGATTTACTGACAATTCGGCTCGGTCTAGTTAAATCAGGTTAGGGTTATAAAGAAAGCAAGTAGACGGGTCAGACACGTGGATCTCGAGTCAAATTCGGGTTCACGCGTGGATTTTCCCCTTAAGCAAAATGACATCATTTTGCTTCTAGCTTTCTATATAAAAGTCAATTTTTATTTTTATTCATTTCATCCTCCTTTCAGAAAAAAAATCCCTCCAGCTTAAGAAATTCTCTTTGGTTTAGCTAGAATCCGATGCCTGACTGCCACGTTGGCCTCCACTTGGGTTACTATCGATGGCCATTGTCGGTGGTTGAAAAATGACAAAACGCACTAAAAGACTCTCGTCGATGCATTTTTTCTGGATCCGATCTTTCTTTTATTGGAAACAGCCTCAATCGGAGTAGATTGAGACTCAAAGTTTTTATCTTCGTTTCTCCTTCCTCTTTTTTTTTTTTTTAAAAACTAAAGTTGATATATTTTCGTTGTTCTTTACAGGTAGCTTGGTGTTGTTGGATCATCGCTTAATCAACGAGGACTGTGTTGTTTTATTTTTTGGTGGGTAAGGGTTTTGTGGGATATTTGGTAAAGGTAGCTGTGTGGAGGTTGGGGATCGAGGCAAGGTCGAGCTGGGGTTTCTAGGTGGGGGTGCTTAGGTTCTTTTTATTATAAAAGATGTATCCTAGAGATTGAAAAGGAAAGAAGCTGGGGCTTTAAGTATATAGGGATCTGGGTGGCTACAGATATGGCTAAGGTAGGCTATAAGGTGGCAGTAGGATGGTGGTAGAAGGCTGGTCGGGAGGTTGTAGGGGGCTGTAGGGTGGCTGGTGCTAGGCATCAGCCCCCTACTTTCTGGTACTTTTTTTTTCTTTTTTTGTATTTTTAATATTAAATTAATATTAATAATTTATTATCAATATTTTTTCTATTATTATTAGTTTAATATCAAGAAACAAAAACAAAAAATGTGATTTAAAACATCAATAGATCCGAACAAAATTCGATGTTTACAAATAGCGTATATACCCTATCTTTTCATTTATAACTTTTAAAAATTAATTTTTAAATTTATTATTTTTTAAAAATATTTTAAATCATCTATTTCATTATTATAATTTGATAAATTCTACTATCTCAACCTTGTATGAAGATTCATGTTGCAAAAATAGGTTTACCTCAAAATTTAAATGTCCACGTAACAAACAAAATAGAATTATTTGACTAGTTTGATATATATATGAACCTAAAATTTTTATGGACTAGTATAACATACATTCGAGCCATCGAAAGTCCTTGAGAAGCAACCTATGCCTATGTTTTATCTTAACGAGCCTTTATTTGTCTAATTATTTTACACAAGTCAAATCATGTAATTAGTTTTTATATTTATATAAAATTTAAATTTTAGTTTTTAAACAATAATTTGTAAAAATTAGAGTCTCATATTAATTTAATTTAATAATGTTGATTTAATTGATAACATTGTTACATGATTTCCGTTAAATTAGTTAACGTGGCTATTGGTTATGTTGACGTAATGTTGATTTTAATAACATGACATTGATTTGTTAATGTAGTAATTGAGATTAATGAAACTAGTTGCTAAATTATACAAATAATCTTTGTACTTATACGAAATTTAAAATTTAAAATTTGTTCTTGTATGAAATTTAAAATTTAGTCCATGTACTCATATGAAATTTGAAATTTAATTTCTAATACAAAAAATATTTTAAATTTTTAGAAATAATCTAATTTTTTAAAACATTGAATTTTAAAAAATTACTATAATATTCTCTCATAATATTTTATCATAATATTAAAAAATCTATCACAATATTTAGTTAAAATTTTCATATATTGTCATTAAATTTTTCATATTTTTTTGTCATCTATGTAAAATACTATTACTATTTTGTCACTATTTCTTGTTATATTCTGTCATAAAATATAAATCTGTAACTAATTTTATCTTTTTTTTCTGTCACAATTGTAATATATCATGGCTGTATAAAAAAATTCTTAAACCAATCTATTAAAAATCTATCACAAATTTATCAATATATGATACCAATCTGTTATTATCTAATTTTAGTAAAACTATTAATTTTTTTTTTTAGAATTAGAATTATATCCCATAATGATCAAATTATCCATAAAAGCAATGTTTCTATTCCTTTAAATTAAACTCCTATTTAAATGATTTTTTATAATCAAATATAGGTTCAAGAGTCTAAATATATTAAAGTAATTTATTAAACTTAATATGTATTGGTTTTAAAATTAATCTTATTATTTAATTTAGCACAATTATTTAAGTCATTTTTTTGTGAAGACCTAAAATATTAAAAGTTTTCATTATAATTCATGATATTGATGTTTCGATTGATCAAATAAACTGTTTCCTCCTTTCATTTTGTTAAGATTTAAGGTTCGTTTTTCAAATAGATAAAGCTCATTTTTTGTAAAAATTTAAGTTTGAATCTTTTATTTTACTTGGTTGGACGAAATAATCATTTTATTCATAGTCTATTTTGAATTTATTAGAAATGCTATTCAATTTAATAGTTTGGTTCATTATAAATTTTGTTACATAATATATTTATGCTGATTAAAATAATATTAACTTTGATATATTAATTTAAATGATTAATAATATAATTGATTAATATAAACGATAATAATATTATTAATATGATATTATTAATAATTAATTATATATAATAAAAACTAATATATTAAAGGATTAAAATATTTTAAAATTTAATATTTTTAAAAAACTAAAATAATTCAAAATATTTTTTTATATTAAAGATATTAAATTTCAAATTTTGTGTGAGGATTAAATTTTAAATTTCGTATAAATATTGAGATTATTTATATAATTTAACAATTAATTTCATTAATTCTTCTTGTCTTGTCAGTAAATTAATGCCATTTGATTAAAGTCAATTCATATCAACATGGTCTGTAACTACGTCAGATAATTTAATAGGAATTAAGTAACATCATTATTAATTAGATTAATATTATTAAATTAAATTAATATGAGAATTTAATCTTTCTAAATTAATTTATAAAAATTAAAGTTAAAATTTTATATAAGTACAACGATTAATTGCATAATTTAATCTTTTATATATAAAAAATTATCAAATATATTAACAGTGAAAATTTTTTAATTTTACATATAAAATTATGATAATAACAAATATTTTATTTTTTAAATGTATAAAAAATATATATTATCATCTTATTTTTACATATAAAATTAAAAAAATTTCACTCTCAATGTATTTAAGAATTTCTCTTTCCATATTAATGCTGGATCTGTCCCTCTTTATTGTGATGTTGTCCTATAACCACCAAAATTATTAATAAAAAAAACATTTATAATTTTAATTCAAATTAAAGAGGAAGTACGGTGTAATTATTGAGATTTTTTTCCTGTTCTAATGATAAACAATAGATATCAGATTGATCATACAATTTCGTTAATTTTTCTTTTGCTTAGAAAAAAATTAATATAATAAAAATAAGGGGTTATAAATTAAAATTTAAAAATCATAAATAAGAATATAGTATTACCCAAAATTAAAAAAAATGTTTTTGATTATCTAAAGTAATTCACATGTAATTAAAAATGAATAGGACTAGATGAACAACTTATATAAATTTATTAAAGAATCACTTTAGAGCTAACAGATTGATTAAGTTGGTAAAATTCAAATATTTTTTTATAAAATTTAGATTTAAATTTTATTAGCGATAATTATTTTGATAAATGATTTATAAATTCAACATAAATGACTTTTAAAATCTATAATTTATTCTTATCCTAAAACAAGGAAGCCACCCTCAAATAATAATATAAGCAAAAAGAGAACTATGTAGAAGTTTTCATATTCATTTCTACTCTCTCTCATTGCTGCAAGTTTAATCATGGATTTAGAAACTAAAGACTTAGTTGTTTCAAAACGACAAGATGATGAAGTAAAGGTGATGGGAGGATAATCCAAGAAATGGTGCAAATGAAAGAAACAACTGTGGTTTCATATTTATTTTATCATAGGAGGTGTCATCTATTGTTTTAATAAGCTTGATTTCTTTCCAAAATTTCCATGCACTTGATAGATTTATGTCTCAAGTTCACCAAAATGTGGCACTACTTGGATTAAGGCTTTAACTTTCTCAATTGTGAACCGCAATCAATTTGCAATGGAAGAAACTCCTTTGCGCGACGTATGCCCTCACCAACTTGTTCCTTACTTTGAGTTTGATCTTTACATCAATAACCCTTTTCCAGATCTCGAAAAAAGCTATCCATACCAGCCAAGAATTTTCGCCACCCACATCCCCTAAGCTTCTTTGCCACCTTCCATTAAAGATTCCAGCTCTAAGATTGTCTACATTTGTAGAAATCCGAGGGATACTTTCATCTCTCATTGGATTTACGCTAACAAGCTTCGAGCAGAAAATGTAGAGCCGCTGTCACTAGATGAAGCTTTTGAGAAGTTCTGCCAGGGAATCAATGGGTTTGGACCATTTTTTGATCATGTTTTAGGGTATTGGAATGCAAGCCAAGAAAATCCCAACAAAATATTGTTTTTACAGTATGAAGATCTCAAGGAAGATATCGTTTCTCATGTGAAAAGGTTGGCCATGTTCTTGGGGTTTCCTTTCACAGATGAGGAAGAAAAACATGGAACAGTTGAAGAAATAGTCAAAACCTGTAGCTTTGGAAACTTGAAAGAATTGGATGTGAACAAGAATGGCATTGGCCCTTTCGGAACTCCAAACAACTACTTATTTAGGAAAGCAGAAGTGGGAGATTGGAGCAATTATCTCACACCTGCAATGGTAGAACGTTTTGAGAAGCTTACTCAAGAGAATATGGATAAGTCAGGTTTAACTTTTAGACTTTCTTAATTTGGATATGTGTTGTGAGTTTGGATGGAGCTTAGTTAATTAACGAATGTAAAACTTGTGTTCGTGCAAGCGTGTGTGTTTTTTGTACCAAATGCTGTTATCGCCGTGAATAAAAGAATTTTTATAACTTATTTCTGAAAAAGCAACGAAAGCATGTGAAGTGTTGGGACAAAATTAATTAAATTAGGCGTTCTCTCTCTCGTACAATACAATCCTCTTGTTTCTATCTAACAAGTTTTATGATTTTTTTTTTTGGGGGGGGGGGGGGGGGGGGGTGTGGCGCGCCAAATAAGTTGTTTTTGCTTAATGAAAGCACCCTTTTCATTAAAAAAGTAGTGCCTAATTTATCTAAATTTTTTGCTTTCATACGCTTTCTTGTTTTTAGTTTCATTGCTAAAAGATTTTCTAACAATCTCTCCAACCAACCCAAACATTTTAATTACATAAATATTTATATATATATAGTAGAATCATCCAAGAGTTAAATTATTAGTCCAAACTCAAAAGTTTGCTTAATATTTGATATGATTTTAAAAAAATATTATTATATCCTTCAGACGAGTTTGAACAAAAATATTAAACTCATTTAAAAAATAAACTAATTTTGATTTTAATATTCAAAACTCAAGTTTGATCCAATTTGATATTAATTACATAATTTATTTTATTTTTATATTTTTATATGTTATATAATTTAAATTATATAAAAGATAAATATATATAATATACCCTCCTATATACACTTCTTAAATGATAATAATATTATTAATAATTAATTATATATAATAATAACTAATATATTAAAGGATTAAAATATTTTAAAATTTAATATTTTTAAAAAACTAAAATAATTCAAAAATTTTTTTATATTAAAGATATTAAATTTTAAATTTCGTGTGAGGACTAAATTTTAAATTTCATATAAATATTGAGATTATTTGTTTAATTTAACAATTATTTCATTAATTTCTCTTGTCATGTTAGTAAATTAATGCTATTTCATTAAAGTCAATTCATATCAACATGGTCAATGACTATGTCAGGTAATTTAATAGAAATTAAGTAACATCATTATTAATTAGATTAATATTATTAAATTAAATTAATACGAGAATTTAATCTTTCTAAATTAATATATAAAAATTAAAGTTAAAATTTTATATAATTACAACGATTAATTGCATAATTTGATCTTTTACATATAAAAAATTATCAAATATATTAACGGTGAAAAATTTTTAACTTTACATATAAAATTATGATAATAAAAAATATTTTAACTTTTAAATGTATAAAAAATATATATTACCATCTTATTTTTACATATAAAATTAAAAAAATTTCACTCTCAATGTATTTAAGAATTTCTCTTTCCATATTAATGCTGGATCTGTCCCTCTTTATTGTGATGTTGTCCTATAACCACCAAAATTATTAATAAAAAACACATTTATAATTTTAATTCAAATTAAAGAGAAAGTACGGTATAATTATTGAGATTTTTTTTCCTGTTTTATTGATAAACAATAGATATCAATTGATCATAAAATTTCGTTAATTTTTCTTTTGCTTAGAAAAAATTAATATAATAAAAGTAAGGGGTTATAAATTAAAATTTAAAAATCATAAATAAGAATATAGTATTACCCAAAATTAAAAAAATGCTTTTGATTATCTAAAGTAATTCACTGTAATTAAAAATGAACAGGACAAGATGAACAATTTATATAAATTTATTAAAGAATTACTTTAGAGCTAACAGATTGATTAAGTTGGTAAAATTCAAATATTTTATTTATAAAATTTAGATTTAAATTTTATTAACGAATATAAAACTTGTGCTAGTACAAAAGTGTGTTTTTTGTACCAAACGCTGCTATCGTCATGAATAAAGGAGCGTCTTTAGAGTACTGCTAAAAATGCCTTCATAATTTCTGAAAAAGTAACAAAAGCATGTAACGTGTTGGGACAAAATTAATTAAATTATTGAAGGTGCTAAGGCGTTGTCTCCCTCGTACAGTACAATGCATGTGCATCGGTCTTTTTCCAATGAATGGCTTATTTAAAATGTGAGACTCTAAAATGTTTCTAAAATGCTATTGGAATCCTTCCTTGCCAGATGATCGCTGCTATCCTCTTGATTCGATCTATTAAGTTTTATGATTTTTTTTTTCGGGGGCCAAATAAGTTGTTTTTGCTTAATGAAAGCTCCATCTTCATTAAAAAAGTAGTGCCTAATTTATCTAAATTTTTTGCTTTCATACGCTTTCTTCTTTTTAGTTTCAATGCTATAAGATTTTCTAACAATCTCTTCAACCAACCCAAACATTTTAATTACATAAATATATATAGTAGAATCATCCAAGAGTTAAGTGATTGGTCCAAACTTAAAAGTTTGCTTAATATTTGGTATGATTTTAAAAAATATTATTATACCTTTCAAACGAGTTTGAACCAAAATATTAAACCCATTTAAAAAATAAGCTAGTTTTGATTTTAATATTCAAGACTCAAGTTTGACCTAATTCAACATTAATTATATAATTTCTTTTACTTTTATATTTATATATGTTATATAATTTAAATTATATAAAAGATAAATATGTATAATATAGCCCTCTTATATACATTCCTTAAAAATACTACTAAAGGTTAAATGGTATTTTTGAAAATTTAGGGGTGGATAATATAATTTTTTTAAGTTTAAAAATACTATGTTTTTAGAGAGTATATATAACTTTTCCCCATATAATATTTTGTCTAGATATTTAAAAATATATTAAATTATTCATGTTTTAAACCTTAACCAAAGAAAAAAAAATAAAATATTAAAGATTAAATAAAATATCATATTTTATTTTTAAAAATTTGTTTGAGTAAGTTTTAGCTGTACCATTTATTAACTGGACAAATTTGAAAAAAATTTGAAACCTAAATAATTGAGTTGAATTGGATATAAGTAAACATGTAAATTGTTAAATCCATGATTAAACTCAACTTGAATTCTATATCTATAACATCTATAACATAATATAAAAGTTATCCCTTGATTGAATTGGATGGACAGCTTAATAATGTAAAAAAAAAAAAAGAATCGAAGGTAATTTTTTACTTGCTTCTTCTCTTTCAAAACCTTCATATAGAAAAAGACCTTTAAAAGATTTTGGGGAAGATTTGTAGCCGAGATTAGATTTTTGTTGTGTAGAGAAATTAAACGTTTAAAGAAATATCGAGTCTTGATTTCTCAATTGGGTTCCCTTACAAGTTCGATTCATTTGATTCTTTCTCTGCTTTCAATGCCCCTGCTGAATCCGTTGTTGGGTCTACTAGCACTAAAAGCAATAACGAGGATGAGTTTTTAACTAGGTTGACTCACAAATTCGCTTATTCAAAGAGTTAGAAACTCATTGTTCCTAGCTTTTCCCTAGACAAAAACCAGGTAAAATAATTAATGGGTTTTTTCATTTTGACCCTTTTAAGTTTTGATTTTTTTTAAATTATTTTTTGTGGTATTAAATTTGGGTTCTTTTTAGGGTTTTGATTTACAAAACTAGAGTTTTGGTGAATTTGCCACAATCGACTCTAAGTGGGCTAACTAAAAGTAGAAAGTGTTTGCAAGGACAGTGAAGCAATGGAATGAAGAAAATGATGCCATGGAGGTTACATGCAAGGTGAAAAATCACTTTTATTTTTTTTTATGTTTTTTATATGCAAAAGGATGACTAGCAAAGTAGTAACAAACACAAAAAGAAAATCTAACTATTGTGAGGAAGGTTGCTATATCTCTATCAGTCTCAGTTTTATAATTCCTTAAAACAAAAAAACAAAAGTCAATTAATTTCCCTTATTTCCTCTTCTCTTTGCAAATAGTTGGGTAAAGTTTAGATTGTTTTACCTAAGTCCCCAACAACCAACAACAGTTTTCTCCAATCGAATCTAAATCTTTTACTTTTTGTCTCTCTTTGGGTGATTTAATCTTGTCTGAAAAATTTTGAAGATAAGTGAGGTGTTCGAAGGTTATGAAGACAATACAGTGAACTCTCAACCAATCTATCTCAAAAATACAATTCTGCTTCTTTTATTCTTGATATAGGTACTTCCTCAATCCATTCAACCCCCTTCTTAAAAAAAGGAAATTTTTTAATATAATTCTTTATGGAGTTACAACCTATTATAGAACAGAAAAAGTAGAAGTTTTTTAAGATAAATTCTAGGGTTGATGAGGCTAATGTCTTGGTACTCTGTTCTAAGGATATGTTTCTTTTTGTTGTTTACTTTTTTTTTTTTACTTTGTTATGTGATATTGATTCAATTTTCATTTTTATTGGTAGGTTTGAAAAATGGACTTTGAGGTAAGGAGTTTGCAACCAGGGGTAAAGGCAGCACTTATTACTAAATTAAGGGAATATAAAGCTAATTTAAATAAGTTGAAGAAGGAATTCAAGAGATGGAGGAATTTCTAGAAAAAGAAAGCAAAAAGTAAAAAAGATGAAGGATCAATATGATAAATTTATGAAAGAATTATAGATGGTTAAAAACCAAATCACAGTACTTGAAAGCCAAATTTTTTTTGTATATCTTTGTATAGTTTTGCTTGTGATGTAGGTCATTCAAAGGTCATTGTTGATAGAACAAATGTAAAGTTACTAAAATTTTCACTTTTTTTATGCTCTTAAATGATTGCTTTTACTAATTAATTGGTTTATTAAGAGATTATGGTTGGTTGTCAAAATATTGATCCATTCATCTCTTTTATTAATTAATATTTAATAATTATTCTTTGTACCTTCTCTGCCTTCCTCCAAACTTTCAATAAAGGGACCTCAACTTCTTTCTAAAGAAAGAGAAAGAAGAGTAAGTACCATGGAAATCTTATTTTTTTACTCATAATATTTCTTAGGACAAGCATTAAATATTTACTAACATTTTTTATACTATTTATTGTATATTATCAAAGGGAAAAATTACTGTTATTTTAACATCTTGAAGTTTTTGTGATT